CCAGGTAGGGCGTTCACTTCAACTTGCTGGATTATCAGAGCCGACCTCTTGGTCCTGCCTTCAGTCTCCCCCAGGAAATCAATACTGCAGGGGGCAGGCAGATCCATCCCCTGGGGCCAAAGCTCTAATGATTTCTCATTTGATAAAAAACCTTCAGTGGTTCCCACCACCTGTGTGGGCCAGAATCCTTGTCCCCCCTTCTGTACTTTTTGGCTTCCCTGATTTGCCCTCATAGTTCTCCAGGGGTCCCTTTCCTTCCACCTTCCTTTCTGCCCATCTCCACCAAGTGGATGAGACCTCTAGGCACAGACCCTTCGTGGGCAGGGTCTGTGTATGATTCCCCTTTGAATCTTCCCCCACAGCCCAGCACAGAACCTTCCATGTAATTACTTCAGTTGGATGAAAGTGTCACTCTTTCTCCTTTTAATATTGCTTCACAAAGCAAGCCTGATTTGCAGGAATATATCCACCCAGCACATACCAGCACAGCTTTCCAGGTTATTCTTAAACAAAACACCAGTTCAGTCCCTCCTTTGTCAACCCAAATTCCCTTAGCGGTAATGGCTGGAATGTCATCCTTGCCAGAAGGTATATATAAATAAAAACATCCACCCCTTGAAACCAAAATAAACAGGAGTAGTAAGCAAATATAAACAATAACAGACCAAATTTTTAAAAGTAATGTTATTTGCCCATTCCCTTCTGGGGAACAGAACTATTGGTTTTGGTTTGGGTTTCCCTGCTTCAGATAGCGGTGGAATAGAGGGTAGACCAAGTGTTTATTTTCTTAAGACTATTTCTACCTCAAGAACACTTTTACATAAGTTGAGTCTTCACTAAATATGTATCTCTACTCCCAAGAACAGAGACTCCCAAGAATAGACAGTTAGCCTCTTACACTGAAGTCCCTCAAGAGAAGAAAATGTGTTGGAACTTTTCCTTTACTCAAGTGAAAGAGGCTTAATTAGAGGATCAACAACCCAGAGTCCTTATCTCCTTCCCTACTGCATTAAGTAGGCAAAAGGTGAAGTCTGACTCCCCCACTGATTGTTATCCTCTTGGACTTCTGAAGAAAAAATACATTGCAGCCAAAAATATCTGGGATATTACTCGTCAACCAGACCTGATGAGCTATGGACCAAAGAGAAGTAAATGGAAGTTCAAATATTTGCTCATTTTCTTTATCTCCAGGTGAGCAATTGCATCTGTGTTATGATCAAATAGGCTAAGAAGAAAATTCAGCCCAAAAAGAAGATGGCTATGGTAGGACCAATTATTTTTGTTTTCATCATGGAATTCACAAGAAAAAAATAAAATTGGCTGAAAAGCAGCCAATGAACTTAAAGCCGAGTCCGAGGACAGCTAGAGAAAAGCTGATATACTTACAGGTCAGCTTGTGGCTTTAATTACAGTGGAGGTCCAGGTGGACACAGGATGTGGAAGTCCTGGCTAGGATTGTGTGTGAGGCAGAGGAAAGCCGGGACAGTCACACCACCTCCTCAGCAATGAAATTCCTCTCTTTCTCCCCACCCCTGTCTAGATTTCTCTTCATGCACATATTTTAAAAATAGAATCTTTATTTTAAACCTGCCTTTTAATATTTTTGTTATTTATTATAAAAATCACTGTTCAAAATTATGTTTTACACCATTTTCTTAAAAGATTTATTTATTTGACAGAGAGAGAGCGCGCACGCAAGCAGGGGGAGAGGCAGAGGGAGAGAGAATCCTCAAGCCTACTCCCTGCTGAGCACAGAGCCCACGTGGGGCTCGATCTCAGGACCCTGAGATCATGACCTGAGCTGAAATCAAGAGTCGGCCACCAAAGGGGCGCCTGAGTGGCACAGTTGGTTGAATATCACACTCTTGGTTTCAGCTGGGGTCGTGATCTCAGGGTCCTGGGATGGAGCCCTGTGACGGGCTCCTGCTCAACAGGAAGTCTGCTTGAGACTCTCTGTCCCTCTGCCCCCCCCGTTGTGCCCTGCTCATGCATGTGTGCCCACATGCACACGAGCTCTCTCTCTCTCAAATAAATACATCTTTAAAAAAAGACAAGAGTTGGCCGCTTAACCAACTGAGCCACCCAGGCGCCCCATATTTTACACCATTTTTAAATGGTTTATTCCATTATATGACTGTATTCCCATTAACTGAAAAAATTTCTTGGTGTTCGACTGCTACTTCCAATTTTTGGCTTTTAATAAACATTGTCCCAGTGAACGAGTAATTATTTCCTTTTCAATATGCTTCTGAAAGTGCAACTGCTGGGTCTGAGTGTATGCACATTTTAAGGTTTTTGATATATATCACCAAAGCTGCTCTTCTGATAGGTTGTGCCAATTTAAACTACCACAAGACAATCGTCTGAGAATCATTATTTTAAATCCTTGCTCATTTCATAGGTGATCAATGACATCTTTTTTTTTTTCATTAAGCTGCTGAAACTATTTCATATACCAATTGGTAAATTATGTCTCTTCTTTGATTAAGTAATGTGAGCAAGTTAACTCTTGTGCTTTAGTTTTCCCCATCTGCACAATGGGGATATTAATAGTAGTTACCCTTTAGGGATGTTGTGAGGGTTAAAAAGTTAATTCAAGCAAGGCACTTAGAACAGTTCCTCACCTACAGTGAGTTCACAGTTACAGCCATCAGATATTTTGAAAAATGCCTGTTCATGTTCTTTTCTTGTTTTCTATTTGAGCCTTTACTTTTTTCTTATTGATATTTTTCTTACTGCTTTTTAAGGGTCTTAGTACATTAAGATACTTATCATTGTTTTCCATATACAGTGCAAATATTTTGTCAACTTCATGATTTCATTTTTCAATTTGCTGATGATGGGTTTTTTGCTATACATAAGTTTAAAAACTTAATATCATTAAATCATTCACTTTAAACAGAACAAGTTACAGAGATCCAATATTCAAATATGAGAAAAACAGCGAAGGAAAACATGATTCTTAACTCTAGTTTATAAGAAAGAAAAGAACTGATCAATTTGACTACATGAAAACGGTTTTTATGAAAAACAAATTTAAGAAGAAAAACATAGAAAAATGTTTACAATACATGATAAGCACAAGGCTGATCTTAACACAAAAATCTGTAAGATTTGCTATAAGCAATTCAGAGAAAAAGAAATACAAATGCTCCACTTCACTCATAATCAAAGTGAGATATCCCTTTTTGCATACAGATTGACATGGATTTTTTCAAATTAATTATGCATAACATTGTGGTCATGTATAGTTGTGCAGAGTGTTCACTGCACAAGGGCATCTCTAGGCAAGGGAATGAGTTGGGACTGAATTCCTGCTAATATTCCACTTGTTAAATTGTGCCTGCAGGGCTGCCTCACTCAGAAGACGGAGTGACTTCAGTTTCTCACAAAGCACTATATGGTCTAAGAGAGATCCTGATATGCCTGCAGTGTTGGTGGGAGTTCAGAAAAAGGAATTTGCATATACTGAGCAGATATACTGATATACAGGCTCTCTGAGAGTAATTTGGCAAAGTCTATCAAAATAAAATATACAAATCTTTTGACTTGACGAGTCCACTGCTGGGATTTTACTGGTCCATGTAGTTCAAGATGTTTAGATAAAGATGCTCATTTCAGCATTTTTCATAATAGCCCACACACAAAAGAACCCCAAAACAATATAAAAATATAAACATAAAATATAAAAAATAATAGAGGTCTTTTAAAAAATTATGATGTATTTATATATTATAAAATTGCTTGTTAATAGGATTAAAAATATCAATATGGAAATATTTTGAAGTTATATTACATGAAAAACTCAAACTCTAGAGCAGTAACTATATAACATATCTTACTGTGTTTTGATAAAGATACATATACTTGAATGAAAATTTTCTGAAATTAAAACAAAACAAAAAAAAGTTGTTCATTCCAGGTTATAATTGGGAAGAGACTGGGGGTCTGGAAGGGAGAAAAACTCACTTTTAGCCTGAATTGTTTTATAAAGTTTTACTTCTAATCATGTGCATGTTATTTTCATTAAGGAAAATAAACTCTATCCATTTTTGCCTTCATGATTTCTTCCTATACCAGGTTTACACAGAAATGGGTAAGTATTCTGGGCAGGACCTGGGCACTGACCAAAATATGAAAACCTAAAAACACGGATAGATAGAGGTTCTATCATGGCCTAGGTGTGATGTTGAATACTTTACTCACTTGTTCCTTGTCTCCTAAAAATTAAAGAGTGGCTTTCTCTGCCCTTTTAACTCCAGGGCAGAGGCCAAGTAGCCAAGAGTTGGTCTGTGTGACACAGTGGGGGTGGGGTGGTGCTGAAGAAGACAGAAGAAATGGTTACTGGATTTAGATACCACCCTTCAGACAACAGGGCCAGAATAACACAGAATTCTTGAAGTAAAAAAACAAATAAACATAACCTTCATTCATATTATCATTGGCTTAAAGTGATCAGGCTGTTCCTTGAGAATATTTGTTGATTCATTCATATATTCAACAAACATTTATTGTGTCCAATCTACCATGCCTTGTACTTGGTCAGGGGAATACTGAAGTCTCAATGCTTCTAGGGGATGAGGCCAGAGGGTACTGAAACCACCCTCCTTGGTTACATTTTAGCCTGTGCTTAGAAATAATGGATCTAATTCCCAATAAAATACTAGCAACCAAATCTAGCAACACTTAAAAAGGATTATACACCATACCTGTGTAAGCTTTATTTCAGGAATGGAAACTTGGTTTAACATCTGAAAATCAATTAATATACTATACCATATTAATAGAATGAAGGACAATAAATGAATATCTCAACAGAGAAAAAAAAAAGCCTTTGACTCTTGCATGACAAAGATGCTCACAAACTAGGAACAGAAGGGAACTTTTTGATAAAAGGGCATCTATGAAAAACCCACAGCTAACATGACACTAAATGGTAAAAACTGATTGCTTTCCCCTTTAGATCAGGAAGAAGACAAGAACGTTCACTCTTGGGCTCTGTCATGGTGGCTTTGCTGAAGAAGACCACCAGGCTCGTGGGACTGGCTGTATGTGAGTCACACAAGAGGCTAAGAATATTGTACACAAAGATTCTTGATGTTCTTGAGCAAATTCCTAGAAATGCAGCATACAGAAAGTATACAGAACAGATTACAAATGAGAAGCTGAGTACAGTTAAAGCAGAACCAGATGTTAAGAAATTAGAAGACCAACTTCAGGGTGGCCAACTAGAAGAGGTGATTCTTCAGGCTGAAAATGAACTAAGTCTGGCAAGAAAAATGATACAGTGGAAATCATGGGTGCCTTTAGTGGAAGAACCTCCTGCCAATCAATGGAAATGACCAATATAATCATGATTAAATGACTAGTGTGTTGATGGGAAACTGATGTAATTAAATGTTCTGTTACATTTAAAAAAAAAATTAACTCTTGCCACTTCTATTCAACATGATAGTGTATAATGAGTAAGGGCAATTAGACAAGGAAAAGCGATAAAAGACACTCAGATTGGAAAACAAGAAGTAAAATTATCTCTATTTGCACCTGACTTTGTATATAGATTTTGTAAATAGAAATCCTAAAGAATGCACTAAGAAACTACTGGGACTAAAAAATGAGTTCCACAAGTTTGCAGGGTATAAGATCAATATATAAAAATTTATTTTTGTGTATCTATATGCTAGGTAGCAACATTCTGAAAATGAAATAGGAATATAATTGCATTTATAATAGCATCAAAAATAATAAAATACATAGGGATAAATTTAACAAGGAAAGAGCAATACTTATACATTGAAAACTACAACACATTGTGGAAAGAAATCAAAGACGATCTAAATAAATGAAGAGACATTCGTGTTCACAGATTGAAAGACTTCATATTGTTTCTGTTTTTAAGACTTCATATTGTTAAGAGAACAGTGTTATTCAACACAATCCCTATCAAAGTTCCAGCTTTTGGCTTTTTTGCAGAAATTGACAAGCCGACTGATTCATACAAAAATGCAAAGGGACTAGAATAGCAAAAAGAATCTTGCAATAGAAGCACAAAGTTAGGGTGCCTGGCTGGCTCGGCTGGTAGAGCACACAGCTCTCAGGTTGTGAGTTCGAGCGCCATGTCGGATGTAGAGATAACTTAAAAATAAAATCTTTAAAAAACAAAAATTTTAAAAAAAGAACAAAGTTAGACGACACACTCTTCTGTTTTAAAACTTACTACAAAGCTACAGTAATCTACACAGTGTGGCATATTAATAGACATATAGACTAATGGGACAGAAGTAAAGTGTTCAGAAATAAACCCTTACATATACTGTCAATTGATTTTTGACAAGGTGCCAAGACAATTCAAGAGGGAAAGAATCATCTTTTCAGTAAATGGTGCTGGACAGCTAGATACCACATGGAAAAGAATGAAATTGGAGCCCTACAATGCATCAGACATAAAAATTGACTTAAAATGTATCACAGACCTAAATGTAGGAGCGAAAATTATAAAACTCTTAGAAGAAAACTCAGGTGTAAATCTTAACATTGGTTACACAATGGTTTCTTAGATATAACTCCAAAAATACAAAGCAAAAAAACCCCCATAAACATGAAATAATCAAAATTTCAAAATTCTGAATTGCAAATCATTTCAAGAAAGTGAGAAGACAATCGAGAGAATGGGAGAAAGTATTTGTAAACCACATATCTGGTAATGACTTATCTCTCGTACATAAATAATTCTTTTATCTCAATAATAGAAAGTCAAATTATCCAATTAAAATTGGGCAAAGGATCTGAATAGACATTTTTCCAAAGAAAACATACAGAAGGACAACATTTACATGAAAAGACGCTCAATGTCATTAGTAATTAGGAAAATGCAAATCAAAACCACGATGAGATACAACTTCATATTTACTAGGATGGGTACAATCAAAAAGATAAATAACAAGTATTGGCAAGGATGTGGAGAAATTGAAACCTTCATACACTGCTGGAGGGAATGTAAAATGGTACAGTTGCTTTGGAAAACTGCTTGGCAGTTCCTTAAAACAGAACATAAACATAGAGTTACCATGTGACCCAGCGTTTCCACTCCTAGAAATATACCAAAGAGAAATGAAAACATATGTTCACAATAACTTGCACATAAAGTTCATAGCAGTACTAGTCATAGAACCAAAACAGTGAAATAATCCAAATTTGTCCACCGACTGATGGAAGGATAGATAAAATGTGGTATGTCCATACAGTAGAATGTTATTTGGCAATGAAAAGAAATGAAGTACTGATACATGCTACAACATGGATGACCCTTGGTAACATTATGCTACGTGAAAGAAGTCAGTCACAAAAGGGCACGTGATGTATGTTTCCATTCATACGAAATGTTCAGAAATAGCAAATCGATAGAGATAGAAAGTAGATTAGTGGTTCATTAGGACTGGGGCTGGGGGTTGAGTAGGCTGGGAAAACAGACTGATGGTTACACAACACTGAATACACTAACAACAAATTGTACATTTTCAGGGGATGAATTTCATGGTATGTTAATTATATGTCAATAAAGTTGTTTTTAAAAAATAGAAATAATGGCTCTCACTGCATGTTTTCAGAAATAGTGATTAATGGTCTTCCTAAAACCTAGAGAAACAGACGCAGCCCTAAGCTGAAAGTTCAAGAGACTAAAATTAAGAGAGTGAAAAGCAAGCTGACTCGTGGCCTGTAACAATTATTTTACAAAAGCCCAAATCAAATATCTTTTATGGTCAAGCATAACCTTTTGTTTAAATTACTTTTTGTAGGGGTGCCTGGGTGGCTCAGTCGTTAAGCGTCTGCCTTCGGCTCAGGTCATGGTCCCAGGAACCTGGGATAGAGCCCCGCATTGGGCTCCCTGCTCCCCGGGAAGCCTGCTTCTCCCTCTCCCATTCCCCCTGCTTGTGTTCCCTCTCTGGCTGTCTCTCTGTGTCAAATAAATAAATAAAATCTTAAGTAAATAAATAAATAAATAAATAACTTTTTGTATACATCAGCTGCACAATTTCTTGACATGATTAGTCATTTTATTGGGAATTATAGCAATCTGGGTATTTTTTGCTGTACTGGCTAAGAGCTAGGACAGTCATATTTTAAGATTCTACTCTGCTTAGTGATCAGTTATGTAATATTCTTTGCTTTTCGCAAAGGCAAAATTCACTTTTCTAATATTAACCCTAACAATATTTTGCAGCAAAAGAACTAAATTCAGGGCAGTATTTTATACTTGTTGTATTCGAGTGATGATTTAATTCTGTTTTACCAGTGCAGAGATTTAAAATAATAACTCTCCCTTAATATGAAAGAAGTCACCCTGCTTTAAAGTAAGACAAAGGCAACTAAGCCTCATTTGCACAAGATAGTTTACTAAAGTTAAGATCCTAATCACCCCCCCCAACCCCCCCCACCCCAATCCCATCCCTAAAAGCCGTATCAATATGGCTCTGATGTTCTGGAGCTTTGTACAACCTTGTCCTTAACGGGAAGGGAAGGTGTGATCTTTTTTTGGATTTTGATTTCTCTCCTTTGTAGAAGGTTCCTCCTTTGTGGACATTAACATAAGCCCCAGCAAAGCTTATGATTTTTGAGGGTGTGAAGCACTGCAGTATAAACAAACCCATGTGGGGGGAAGTTGGAATGGTAGAATGCTATCTAGTTGGGAGACATCCTGGAGCTGATTAAAAAAACCTTCATCTCTGCCCTGTCACTTCCTTTCAGCGAGATCCTGTTAATGTTTACACAATTTTAAAAGTGTATCAGATATCTCAAGGGATAACGTAAAGGGCCCCTTGGAGGTTTTGTTTTTTTTTTAACTGTTGATGGAAAAATATCAAAATAGGACTTTTTACATTTATTTCATTATCCAATCACAAGTAACGCCACCAAAAAGTTGTTTATCCCTACCCTGCTGGAGAAATGCCAGGCTTATTACCTTCCTTCCCTTTCTTAAAGAAAATGGAAAAAACAAACTTTTTAAACAGATCGTTGTAACGATTCCATAAAACGAACTTTAGCCCTCGACAACTGAGTTTGCGAGGTACGTTGTCCCCAGTTTAAGAGCTTATGTGCCCAACATAAAACAAATTATCTTTTGAAACGATCACGCTTTTTTAAAGTTACGAAGTATTCAGAGTTCCGCCAGGATAAGAGAAAGCAACCGGCACTTCTACTCCGAAAACAAACCATAAATCAGTTGACAAGCTTGAAAGAATTCAGTCCTGGTCTGTTCGGAAGCCAAGCGTAAATACAGAAAAACCTGTTGGCTCGTCTATCTTGCTCTCTAAGTTTCGCGTTTCAAAAACACGGCAACACGCGAACGGCGCCGCTCGTAACGTTCGGGCTCGGAGGAAATTGAGATCAACACCCAGGCGAGGCATCCCGCACGGAAAATGGAGCCTGCGCCTTTAAGGTAAAACCGGCTGGATCCCAGAACGCATTCCACTTCTCCGCGACAAAGAGTTTGGGGGAGCGCTACCTCTCGGGTTTCTCCGAGGGACTTGGCGGCTTCGGGCAGAGCCCGACCTGCCGCGGAGCCCTCGGCCGTCCCAGCTGCCCTGAGCAAGCCCAGCGCCCGCGCGGCGGGGGCGCCCCGTGCGCCCGGACTCACCGCTGCTGGGCTGCGGGGACAGCGCGGAGACCGAGGTCTGACCCATGTCCGGGGTCGCGGGGCCAGGTCTGGCGATCACGCGGCTCCTTTGGTCCTTCGAGCATGGGTCCGTCCGCAGGCAGGTTTCCAAGCGCTCATTTCCCGGCTGCGCGGAGCTGCCCGCCGGATTCCCTCGCCCTCTCCCCGGCGCGGGTCTCCCAGCCCGGCCGGCCGCAGCCGGCGAGGCGGATCCTGCCCAGCGGATGCCTGTCATTCCTCTATGCAGATTAGCTGGGGTCAGGGGTCACGGGGGAGGAGGGAGGGGAGAGAGCGAGGGGGAGGGGAGGAGGGGAATGGGCGCAGGGGCACGAAGTCGAGGGAAGGGGAGAGGCCGGCGGGCCCAGCGGCGCCTGCGGGGGCGGAAAGACCGGCACCCCCCTAGGGTAGTAGAGAGTTCAGGCGCCTCCCGCGTAACTTAAAAGGTTCAATGTCAAATGATCCTTTAGGGCTGTGAGAAAAGGAATTAAAGTACTTAGTCACGGTACTTAATTTAACACAATTTGTTCTTCAAAGTTGGTTTCTCCCTCACATTCTGTTGGCAGTACTGCAGCACTGTTAGAGGTCTGCCCTGTGCGGGGCTTTCCTCGTTTTAAAAAGTAGCTTCCTTTTAACAAACAAAAAAAATTAGTGGCCTCGGTTACGTTGAACAGTAAATCTGAAAGATGGATCTATGTGTGAGATCAGCGAAGGACAGACGGCTCTCTACCGCCTAAACTCCGGGAAGCGCACCTCTCCCATTTAAAAAGAATCACTGTGAAATCTCTGAAACCTTGTGGTAAGGTGTTTAAAATATACAAAAAGGTGAAAACAACAAAAACAAAGGGTAATTGAAGCTAACATTCCCTAACAGTTGAATTAAAACTTCCCATAAGTAAATCTTAACCCCAAATTTCTTAAAAATACGAATACAGATAAATACTCTTGGTATATACAATTGATGAGTAATCTATAGATTATATATATAGTGCATTATATAGAGATTATATATATAGATTATATATATAGTGCATTATATATAGATTATATATATATTATATAGTATATATTATATATAATCTATAGATTACTCATCAATTGCATATATGTATATATGTGTGTGTGTGTATATATGTGTATATATATCAATAGTGCATGAGACTGGGTAGTGGTCACATAAATGTGTTCACTTGATGAAATTTCACTGTATACCATGATTTGTGCATTTTTCTGAATGTATATATTTCATGAAAAAGTAACAAATTAACTGTAATATATTTAATTCATTTGCCACAGCTTTCACTTTTCAGATTATCCTAGACATTCCACTCTAAACTATTAAAAAGCTAGATAATATATATAATAAAATAATAATCTAAGTTATTTAATACCTTAAGCATGAAAATCTTTTTTTTCTGAAGTTTGTATTATTAAGATCACACACAACCTTGCTTTATTTTTTGAAAGACATTTACTTGTCTGTTTCATCATAATGATGTAAGTTGCCCTATTTTGTTCACACCCAAAGAGTCCACCCTCTATTGTGGAGAATTTTTTTTCCCCTAGAATACTGTGATCAATTATCTACTTCCCTTTGCCTAATTCATTCTTAAGACACTTGATTTTTTTTTAATGAAATTGAGGATTAACCAAGATGTGAGTTCTAATTAGGGCAATGAAATCAATCAACTAAATTTCTTTATAAAGTGCAAAACTGTTGTATTTTGGGAACACAGCCCACCTGGGGGACTCATCAGTGAGAGTGAACAATTATAATGGCTCTTCCATTTCTTTACTTTAGTAAGTTTGCCTTAAAAAAATAACAAAAAAAATTCAAGTTACCTGTTTTCTCAACCTAAATTGAGAGGAGGAAACTTCACAGTCTTCCTTCCATTGATTGAGCCTAATTAATAAGGGAGGTCATTGATCATAAGAAATACACAGTAAATTTTGCACATTAAAAAAATGTAAATGGAGGGGCTCCAGGTGGCTCAGTCCTTTAAGCATCCGCCTCTTGGTTTCTGCTCAGGTCATGATCTCAGGGTGGTGAGATTGAGCCCTGGTTGGGCTCCTCACTCAGGCGGGAATCGGCTTCAGATTCTCTCTCCCTCTACCTCTGCCCCACCCGCTCATGCTCTCTCTCTTTCTCGCTCTCAAATAAATAAATAAATAAATCTTTAAAAATTAGGTAAATGTAATGACTTTTTTAAATTGACAAAGCCTAAATTTGAGGCTATTTTTGCTATCATTACTTCTTTTCCTTGAGAAACAATAGTGTGTTTCTTTCTTATTTCTTCTACAAATTCTTATTTCAAACATCAAAGGGGTACTCTATAGTTCTCTTCTTTCAGGATTTGCTAGATCCACCTATGTTTACCTTATTCAAAACCTTTCAGGATTCGCTAGTTAATATAATCTTAGCCTCATCTGAGATTCCTATAATCCCCCGATCAGGTTACACACTTTTCTCTGAAACTTTTCCAGTTCCATTACATTATCCTTGAAACATGTCAACCACAACTGCAATAAATGTGCATCAAGGTTTCTTTATAAGGGTGGGACAGTTATTCTATTTTGCTGCCTTTTTATCAAGGCTAAGGGATTATACTAATGAACACAGAAAAAGTCTACAGAAATCCCTCAATTCCATTTATAGGCCATCACGTTAGAATTTATCATCTAACAAGAGTATTTTAAGATAATTTCCAAAATTGCCTTTTTCTTGCCTTATTAGAGATAATCAATTATTCAGCCAATTTACAGTCTTACTAAGAGCTCTGGGTGTTAATCCTACAGTTTATAGTTTAACTATGGGAACATTTAATGTCATCGGAAAAATATGGACATTTCTCTGTGTATTACCTCTTTCCAGGGAGTTTATAAAAATGCTAAATAAGATTAGTGCCAACATCTAATTCTGAGGAAGCCATCTATTTATAATTCTTCAGCATTTATCCCATTGGTCCTGCTCTTTGGTCTGTGTTTCTAAACCAAACTCTTATCCAGTGATATCCTGATAAATACTCAACACTCGGGTTTGTCTGGAGGTAGGGGACAAGATTGATTTGTGACTTGTAAGTAGTATTTGCCGATTTCCTTAATGTAAATACTCCTACAATGGCCAATTCAACAAGCAGTTGACTGGCTTGCAAAATTTATGTCAATTGGTTTGCAAAATTCCTGGAAATTTACCAACTGGCTTGTATGAGCTGTCTTCAGCATACCACTACTTTCATCCTTTGTGATATGCTGTCATCAGGTCATACCATGACTGAAACTGAGCAATAGTCCATGTTAAGGTCTCCTAAAAATATAGAATGATGACATCTACTGATTTCTCCACCCTACAGTCTAAATATCTTTCAATCCCTGAAAGATTTATTCGTTTACCTCCAGAAAGAAGTTAAAGTGAGTGGATTAGTTAGGCAGAATTTCCCCTTCCTGAATCTGGTTTGCCTTTTGATAAAAAGGTTGGATGTACACATTGAGGTTTTCAAGCATTTTACCTTATCACACAGATTTCACTGGTCTGTCTGATTTGGAGTTATGAAGCTCTCCTACCTGGGGTACCCGAAGTTACACATGCACCCCTGATGGATGGAAATCACTAGATCTGCTAGATAAAAGTGAAAAGCATAAATAAACCTAAACTTTAGCCATCTATTTGTGGAAAAGTCTCTACCTACTAGGTCCAAGTCCAAATTGTAGACACATAATTTGGTGGCTAGAGAAGATGCTGTATAATTAGAACAGTCATCACTACCAAATCCTATCCTTTAGGTGACTGCCAGTCTTTTCTAGGCGGCCAAATCTAAGCTGGGAGTGGGAGAAAGAGTGAGATCTTTCTCCCTCAGAGCACAAATGCCATGAATACACATCCTGGGGGTCTGCTCTGCCCAGATGCTGCAAGATCCATTTTGAGACACCAGCAGTTGGGTGGGAGAGGAGGGTTAGGCAGACTCCCAGCAGATGAGATGTTGGTCAGAAGAGTGGTGGTCCAGGAAGCAAAGTGGCTGGTGGTGGCCATGTACAAGTAGACAAGGATTCTCTTAATTGCCACTCTTATTCCTGGACTTGGCCATGAAAATTTGGCGAATTACAGACATTTCCCTGAGTCAGGGGAATTACAGTCAAAGAAAAACCCTTTCCTACTGGGAAGGAAATGAAACTTAGTGATTAAAACTGAGTAATTTCCCAAATAGGATTTTTTTCCTCAATGTATTAGTTTGTTTTCTAGATACAATGGTCAGAAGAAAAAACTAAAATTCACAGGTAATCTAAGACCACTATGTTAGCCAATTATTTTCTTTCTATTACCATTGTCAGATTTATTAAAAAGCAGAAAACTGTCTTTTCTTCCTTCCGCTGATGGAGGTGCTAGAGGGCAGTTTTAATTTTTTTAGTATATGTGCTGCCGAAGCGAGCACGCTAGAAAGCAATTTTTAAAGTTAGAAGGCTATTTTAACACAAGGGGTTCTAATAATCAGGTAAAAGAATACATAACTCAGAAACTAAAAACTAATATTAGCAAACATTTTTAAGTATTAAGGTACTTTTTCTAGTAGAATGTGTGCTGGGTTTTGAAAACTTTGTATTACTCCAAAATTTGGCTACATTTTGTGAAAGGAAGCTTACTAAGAAAAATGTAATTACTAAAATGCAAATTAAAATTTTACTGGATCTTATAATTTCAGTTGAAATTCTGTATACATAACTAGCGTTTACTTTTTTAAATGTTATTCTATAGCATTGCAACCAAATGCTTCCTATGCCTTTTATTTGGACAATTCTGAGAGATTTTAGTTTTAACATGAAAATATAAACAGACAAAGGAGAATTTTGGTTAAGAAAAGAATTATAACTTTGGGCATTCTAGTCATATTAAGCATCAGTAGGAGAGAAAAACACATTCCACAAGTATTAGAACAGGAAACAAACCTGTAAAACAGGCTTTTCTTTCCTATTGTTCTCATATTTTTATATGATTTATTTCCTGAGTTTTCCTTCTACTGCTTGCTCAAGCTAGGATTATCAAAATACTTTGCCCCTGCCTTGCCCTTAGTGAGTCTCCACAGAGGGCGTGGTGTATCTCACGTGTGCTTACTTAGTGATTGAGTTGGACAGTTGGAAGATTTATCCTGGAAAATAAAGACCTTATGGGTGGTGCTGCAATTTCCTTTCCCCCAAATTTTCCCCGCCCCAGGAGAAATAGTGTGTAATTTGCTGCACTTCATTCCACAGGAAAGATAAATT